TACTATTTAGTCATTTACACGAAAAATAGATAGTATTTGGTCCTTTACACGAAAAATAGATAGTATTTGGTCCTTTACACGAAAAATAGATACTATTTAGTCCTTTACACGAAAAATAGACTCTATTAGGTCCTTTACACGAAAAATATATACTATTTGGTCCTTTACACGAAAACAATATACTATTTAGTCCTTTACACAAAAAATAGATACTATTTGGTCCTTTACACGAAAAATGGATACTATTTAGTCCTTTACACGAAAAAATATAGAATTTGGTCCTTTACACGAAAAATAGATACTATTTAGTCCTTTACACGAAAAATAGATACTATTTGGTCCTTTACACGAAAAATAGATACTATTTGGTCCTTTACGCGAAAAATAGATAATATTTGGTCCTTTACACGAAAAATAGATACTATTTAGTCATTTACACGAAAAATAGATAGTATTTGGTCCTTTACACGAAAAATAGATAGTATTTGGTCCTTTACACGAAAAATAGATACTATTTAGTCCTTTACACGAAAAATAGACTCTATTAGGTCCTTTACACGAAAAATAGATACTATTTGGTCCTTTACACGAAAACAATATACTATTTAGTCCTTTACACAAAAAATAGATACTATTTGGTCCTTTACACGAAAAATGGATACTATTTAGTCCTTTACACGAAAAATATATAGTATTTGGTCCTTTACACGAAAAATAGATACTATTTAGTCCTTTACACGAAAAATAGATAGTATTTGGTCCTTTACACGAAAAATAGATAATATTTAGTCCTTTACACGAAAAATAGATAGTGTTTGGTCCTTACACGAAAAAAAGATACTATTTGGTCCTTTACACGAAAAATAGATAGTGTTTGGTCCTTACACGAAAAAATAGATACTATTTAGTCCTTTACACGAAAAATGGATACTATTTAGTCCTTTACACGAAAAATAGATAGTATTCTGTCCTTTACACGAAAAATAGATACTATTTAGCCCTTTACACGAAAAATAGATAGTATTTGGTCCTTTACACGAAAAATAGATACTATTTAGTCCTTTACACGAAAAATAGATACTATTTAGTCCTTTACACGAAAAATAGATACTTGTTTTTATCAGACCCCTGCACTAATGTAACAGTAAACATATATTTTTCCTAACACTTCTTTTTTTTTGGGTACATATTCAGGTAAGGTTTATTTTATGGACTTAAACGTACGCCGAGGACTATTGAAGATTGGTTTAACAGCTGCATTGTTTTGATGCCAAAGTATTTGAAATTCTTCTTCTCATTATTTTTTTATATGTGCATTGTCTTTGGTTGAGAGAGAGAGAGAGAGAGAGAGAGAGAGAGAGAGATAGAGAGAGAGAGAGTTTTTGAAAACAGTTTTTAAGCAATATTAATTAAGTTTAAATCTACTTCAAAGACACAAGTTACGTTTTACGCTACAGTGCGTCTCAACATGTTGAGTTCGACGGGCCGGTGGGAATCATCCCCATTGCAGCGAGGACTAGCGTCGACGTTTGATTATTTCTGTTAGTTTTCTTGGACATTTTCAATTTTTTAAAAAATATTTCGCTGACCAGTGCCTGTGAGCCTGTGGGCCTGTGAGTGTAAAGTGATGCTTGTTCGCGGAACTCCATTTTGAGGGCCACTGGGGGATCACAACCTTACGGTGCATCATATTTTTTAATGTGGTCCATTGACCACGCTGTTTGGATTTTACAGGTTGTTTTACGTCATAAAGTTTGACAACGATAATAAACATGATTAACATCCTTAATGTAGATCACATACCCACCCCCTTCTCACGCCTTAATCTTTTTTTCCTGTAGACTTTAGACCAACTCGAAGGCCTTAATAAACCTATCATGGAAACATATGTGAACACGACCTGTCGATCTACTCCAATCAATATACTTTTAAAGATGGTTTCTCACTTGACTGAGATTCACGGACATTCGCAGTACATCATCTACATAGTACAGGGAGATAATTGATCTACATGGTACAGGGAGATAATTGATCTACATGGTACAGGGAGATAATTGATCTACATGGTACAGGGAGATAATTGATCTACACAGCACAGGGAGATAATTCTTCTCCATAGAACAAGGAGATCATTCATCTACACAGTACAGGGAGATCATTCTTCTACATTCTACAGGGAGATAATTTATCTACATGGTTCAGGGAGAGAATTTATCTACGGATTGCCCCCCCCCCCTTTTTTTTTTTATTTTTTTTGTGAAAAATATAAAAACACAATGAGAGATAGAAAGAGAGGGAAAGGTAGAGAGAGAGAGAGAGAGAGAGAGAAAAAGAGGGGTGGAAAAATAAAGAGAGAGAAGGTTAAAGAAAGAGAGAGAGAGAGAGAGAGAGTGAAAGAGAGAGAGAGAGAGAAAGATAGAGAGAAACAGATACAGAAAAAGAGGTATATATAAGGGTAGAGATAGAAAGAGAGAGAGAGAGAGAGGTAGGGATAGAGAGAGAGAGAGATACAGTGAATGACACTTCACTTGAGCCGTGTATCCCAACTGCCGCTCACCCCCACCACGGTCGCTGACTTCTCCATTGGGGCACACTCGCTTTGTTTTCAACATGTCTCGGGCAGTCCCAGGCGAGACTGGCTCCGTTTTCCCACAGCACCTGTAGTCTATCTGCGCTCTTGTTTGTTTGTGATTCTACCATTCGGCTAGGACTTCACTTGTTCTGTTACCTTCTTGCCATCAGGAATCCAAATAGAAGTGCTTGAAAGTGTGCAGTTGACACGCTCAGTTGTCTTGTGTTAACAAAATGTGGTATCTTTAATGATAATAACGACGCCGGTAAAAATAGTGTTATTGTTACGCTATTACAACAACAACAACATATGATTATGCTACAAACTACAATGGGGCAAAACTATAATAACACACATAATAACGCCATGTTCTACTAATAATAACACAAGGGAAAAAATGAAACAAAATAAGGGAAAACGTGGGGGGGGGGGGGGAAAGAACACAACAAAACAAAGAACGTTTCGGCAAGAAGCCTTCGTCAGCGAACAAACAACGGTAAAAAAAAACAGAATTAAATTAAATAAAAATAACAATGAGCTAAAATGTAGTGTCCGAGAGGGCAGCACGAAATAATCATACAAATGATAGAAATTAGCAACTGATAATAATAGCGCACAGTGAAATTTCAATTCTCCATAAAATCTACATTACAAACTTGACACATCAGAAGAGATAGGATTTATTCTGTCTTAATTAATCTTGCTCAAATTATTTAAAAAAAACAAAACAACTACCTTATTTAGTTTTCAATTTTAAAACTGAATAGAAAGTTTAAGCAGCGTCAGTGGTTCTCCATCAGCGGTCCCGAAGCCACATGTAGCTCTTTCAACGAATAAATGAGTCACTTTATACATTTGTTTTTACTAATCTAAAAGTACATGCAGCACCAACAATTATTTTCTATTATCATGTTGTTGTTTTCTAAAATGGATCCACAATTTTAAAAAAAAAATATTTTTTTTTTTTAAAGAAAGGTTGTCGACCCCCTGGCCTATATCTTACAAAGTCATTTTAAATCTCTTCCAGAGCTACCAGATTCATTTGGTGCTAACACCTTTAAGTAAGGTGATTAAACTCTGACACTAACATACATTGAACGCGGTGTTTAACTTGTAGCTCAGTGTCCCCATTGGGGTTGCAGGCAACACTATCGAAACCAAAGTTCAAAGCAATTTTAAAAAAAATCAAATTATCCTTTACCGAGACCCGCGGCATTAATAATTGTGGTTTAATTGTGATTAGCGACTGTTTGAGTTTCACACACAAAAAATTACCTTTTACGCACCGGTTAATGATTTCATTTGCCGTTGTCATTAGGCTTGGTTAGAGGTAATCATCCGTTACTCTATAAACAGTTAAAGTGACCAGCTTCACCAAAATCGGATATCTCATCGATTCTGTTCCGTAGATAAACTGTCGTCGGAAGCGGTCTTCTCCTCAAACCAATCTTCGTGTCAGGCAAGATGAATTCAAGAACACTATATATATAATGGTAGAATGGCGTTTAGAGCGGTGCTGATGTTGTCAATGAAAGATGGAGGGAAACATGGAGTAGAAATAAGCCTTTGTTGAATATATTCTAGACTTGTGAGCACTCATTGAATCAAAGTTGATCATCTTTATGGTCTTTTGTCTGCATTTGGTGTGTGCGTGATCAAGCGTGAAGCAGCAAACGAGAACGCAGCATTGTGCGCAATAAGAGCGGGGCGGACATGAAAGAGCCTCTCGGGAATTATTATTATTATTAAAGATGAGACCCAAATACATCATTTTTACATTTGTAAGGCTAATTATTTCTCAACGCCGTTTCTACGCACGCTACACTAAAATGAGAAATCAATATTCTGGGTCTAGAAACTGCTTTCTATTAAATTCTATTTGTGCTGGTTCCAAATAAGCTGCTGTTTTGTTGTTTTTTGTTTTTTTTAAAGAAAGCCTTGTTCCTGTGTCGTTTGGTTTTATTTAACACATTCAGCTGCTCATAACTTTGGTCAGTGAAACGCTATGCACAGGAAATCTAGAAAAAACAACAATTGTTCGTGAGTGGCGTTAAAATCTTTAAAAAAAATTAGTTTGACACTCAATTAATCAATTATGTAAAGATACGTTCTATTAAAAAAAGGGAAAGGTGGCGGTGTTCCAATCAATGGCTACAGATTTGCAATAGTGCGGTTCAACAACAATCTACTGAGCATATTTTCTCACTTGTCATCTTGGAAGTATGTTAGTTAGGTACTCTTTAAAAAAAATTGCTTTTTTGTGTTGTTGTTGGCTTTTTTGTGTGTGCATGCTATTTTCTTGTTTCCTTTTTTTCCTCAGAAGACTTGAAGCTTGGAGTTCGAGAAGCAAGGACAAAGGTTGTCAGCGGAAAATGAGTGAACAGTAACCCGTTGCAGTACCTCAAGCTAATAGACAATAATGAACACAATGGAGTATACGACTGTTGTTGACAAGCTGGTGCAAAGCGAACACTCAGAGCCCTTGTTAAGCAATGAGTTGATGGCTCTTATCAACGTCATCAGTGGGGCCGTCATGGGGGCCATCGCTTTCTTCGGGGTCGTCTTCAACAGTGTCAACGCCGTGGTTTTCTTCAAGATGGGTCTCCGCGACCCCGTCAACATCACGCTCCTGGGCTTGTCTCTCGCCGACCTGGGGTCGTCCTTGATACTTCTGCTGATGAGCTGCTTCAGCTACCCGGACCTGGTCCTGGATTACCTCGCCATCCCGTACCTGATAGGATGGCTGCAAATCGGATTTACCCGCATCTCGAGCTGCCTGACAGCGTTCATCACACTGGAGAGATACCTCTGCGTCGCTCTGCCGCTAAGAGTTAAATCCATCATCACCCCGGCGAGAACCGCTGCCATAGTCTCCGGGATATTTTTTTCCATGTTGTCCAGCCAGATCCCTCCGTTTTTTGCCAGTAAGGTCGTAAGCATACCCAATGGCTTAACGAATGGAACAATGATGACGCTCATGTACGCCCCGAACGGACACGACCTGGAAAACGTCTCGGTGACCATAAACAACGTGACCCTGCTGGCGACTTTCCCGGGCGTCATCGTCTGCACGGCCCTTCTGGTCAACGAACTGCTCAGGAAAACGAAATGGCGCCAGGTCAACTCGTCGTCGGCGCAGAACGACACGATGACCGTCCGCGACCAGAGGGTGGTCAAGATGATCACCTCAATCTCCACCATATTCATCCTGAGCTACCTCCCCGTCGCCATGGTGACAGCGACCATGCTGGCGTACCCGGACTTCAGCGTGACGGGACAGCACAGCAACGTCTTCACGGTCGTGTGGGGTCTCACGTTCCTGGCAGAGGGCCTCAACGCCACCACCGGGATCTTCGTGTACCTGAAGATGAGCTCCAGGTTTAGGTCCGTCGTCGTGGCAATGTTTAGATTATCAGCTGAAGGTCACGGGTCAATACTCCACTCAAAACAATTTTCTGATTAGTAAACTATTTTTTTTTAAATATATAAGTAAAATATAAGTCTGATAAGTAAAAGATGTCTAAAAGAACATGTGTTCCGCTTCTTTGAGTGGTGTTGAAATCACGGCGCCCCCCACGAAAGAAAAAAAGGGCGTCCTGGAAACAAGGTTTAATTTCTTCTACAGAGTCTCTACTAAAATAATGTGTCCCAAAATTAGTGAAAAATACTTCAACCCCTTTCTCGCTTCAAAGGTTTGGTACGTTTTTAGCCAGCTTAGATATCCTTCAGGTGGTCGGTAAAATTTCGCCAGCTGGGATTGCTAGGATGTGGACTATAAGTGAAGGAGACGATCTGGTCAATGGAAAAAATAAATTATGAAAGTCATAATATAGACCAACACAGAGTATAGAAGAATGTTCCTGAAATGTATACTTATTGATTGCGTTATGCTCAGTTCACAGGATCAAATTTTCGCCATTTTTTTTTAACGCACTGTTTTGTTTTAATAAATATTGCGTTCAAAAAGGAATCTGACGAAAATTTGATCGAGTGAACTGAGCATTTATTCAAGACTATTTGAAGCTGACCAAACATTGGCGACGGCAATGCGAGAACTTCCCACCTACTGAAGCTACTTGACAAAACATGAACTCAAGTAAAACACATTTAAGAATCCCAATTTTTACTACACAGATTCCCCCCCCCCTCCCCATGATATGTCACTGCACACTTTTTATTTCACGCCCATGAACTACCCTTATATTAAATATTCTCATGTCCCAACCACTTTTAAAAACGAATATTTATTACACCATACTTAAATTGAGACGATTACAGTTTCCGAAAAGAAATTATTACGCACCAAACGCAGTTCCATTTTTAAAAAAATAAAATATTAGCAATACATGTATAAGAGATTGTTTGTTGTTTGCACCCAAAACAAAAACAATTCAAAAAAAAAAAAAAAAAAAAAACAAANTTATCTGTGAAACCAAAAACTTGCTCGGGGACCTATCCTAAAAGCCCGGGGGGACCTCATCTAATAGCTCTTCCCCGTTGATCTCTTTCTTAACACAATCCAATTAATACGCCCGTCGGGTGGAGATGCCGTGTTTAATATATTGGCCACCTCAGGATAAGTTGTAGATATAACTTTGAATAGGCCCCCCCCCCCCCCCCCCAAACCACCACCTCCAACCCCAATTTACACCTCCAGTCTTACAATTAGAAACGGTTCTATATAATTCGGAGATGGTTCCAAGTGTCAATAAGGGGGAGATAAATGAATAGTATGCTAGAGTTGTCAACTCAGTTTAGTCGTTACTGAAACGTTAATCATGGGATGATAAGCAGCGGTGGCGTATGAAGGAGGCTGTGGAGGGAATGGTCCGCCCCGGGGGGGGGGGGGGGGGCGGTTTTTGTTCATAATTTGGGCCAAATAAAGAGGGGTTTTTTTTTATTTATAGGGGCGGAAAAATCTAGCTCCTCCCTGGGGGTGGCATTAAACCTAGCTACGCCCCTGTATAGCCAATAATGATTTAATAACTAACCATAAATACGGTTACGGTAATAAATAACCCGTAAATAAAATAAACGTTTGTAAATCTTACGGTCCGGCACATTGATGAATGTTGGCTCTTTCTTACGGCAAGCTCACTCTACTGTGTCATTCTAATTATAAGTGAAAGAAGAAACATGTTTATATAAGATAAGATAAGATAAGATTATTTATTGATTCAAATAAATGGAAACGTTCTTTATTTACATAGCACATATTCATTTTCAGCACATAAAGAAACGCATATTTCAACCAAGACAGCATTTTACGGCAATAAACAATTAAAACACAAGACATCTAAAGTGTTTCTCTACCGTAGAAATCAGCCATCAATGAACTCCTTTAGTGAAAGTAACGACTCACTTAGTGATCATTGAGATTTGGTAAGCAAAATATGGATACAGTGGTCCCTCGCCACTTTGCGCTTCGACTTTCGGGGTTCCATTTTATCGCAGTTAAAAAAAAAAAAATAACATGCATGCATTAGAAAGTTGATCGCGATGGTGAGAATGATACGGCGCGCGCTCGGTTGTCTGAGTCAGTTAAACACCCATGACTAACTATCAAAATGACTGTGCGCATGGACTGTACGTCACTGTCTTAGAGCAGCCCCAGAGGGTCTCATCACGTTCAACATCGTCTTTAGAGGGCCGTGAACAGGTTTTCTATTCTCTAGCTCAGGCCTGCACGACAAACGGCCCGCGGGCCGCATGCTGCCCACCAGCACCTACTTTGCGACCCGCGAAAAGTAACGAAATGTTCTTTATTCTTAGTATTTTCTTAATAGCTTTCCCCCCTGTCCTATTTTATTTTGGCCCGCACAAGTCCTGTCCTATTCTCTTCTGGTCCGCACAAGTTTTTCATAAAGTATTACGGCCCGCCTTACATTTTGAGTTGTGCAGGCCTGTTCTAGCTACGAACATATTCGATTTATAAATACAGTATCCTACTTCGTGGAAATTCACTTATCGCGGCAGATTCTTGTATTCTTAAACTGATTGACCGCTATATACGAGGGACCACTATATATATATATAACTATATATATATAACTATATATTTATATAACTATAAATAATATATATTTATATATATTATATATATACTGTGGAACCTCTCATAACGAGTTTAATTCGTTCCAGACTCTTACTCGTTAAGCGAAACACTCGTTAAACGAAACAATTTTCCCCATACAAATCAATGTAAAATACGATGATGCGTTCCATGCTGAAAGAAATACTAATTTTTCTATAATTTTTATTAACATTTATTCAAATAAAATTACTAATGAATTGTTAAGGAGTGTAACAACTTGGAATAACATTTAAATTTGAAACAAAAAACTTAAATAAAAATATGAATTTATGACAAATAATTAATCCTTTTTAACTAGAAAACTGTCTAAAGACATTTGTTTTTGCCGACGCTTCAAAATTTGACGAAAATATGTCACAGCATTATCATTGAATGAATTTGTAGCACAAATAGCCACGCCCACACCTTGTTCTCGGTTTTCAATGATTTTACGTTTCATTTCAACAGTTATTTTTTCTCTTATATGATTGTCTTCTTGTGGGTTGTTTTTTCGAAGACATTTTAGCACAGGTTATTACACTTTGCACATAAGCCAATACTGTCCGAATACAACAATTGTAAAACTGGTGATCACACACGAAAACAATACTCTAACAGACCGAGTGCTAAACACAGACTAATGCAATGGTTCTCAACCTTCCTAGTCCGCAACCCTTTAATAGGTTTCTCGTGTCTTGGCGACACCCCATCAACCTAATTATTTTCGTTGCTACTTCATTCCTGTAAGAATATGTGTTTTCAGATAGTCTAAGTCGACCCCTGGGAAAGGGTCGCATTACCCCCAAAGGGGTCACAACTCACAGATTGAGAACCGCTGGACAAATGCATCGGCGCGAAAGTCCCGGCTCACAAATGAATGTCAGGAAAAAGGGACTTCCCCTTTCTGCGTAACTCGTTATGCGAAATATCGCTCGTTAAGGGAGCAACTTCTTCACATTTTTTGTTGCTCGTTATGCAAATTACTCGTTATGAGAGGTTCCACTGTATATATATATATGTATATATATATATATATATATATATATATATATATATATATATATATATATATATATATATATATGTATGTATATGTATATATATATATATATATGTATATATATATATATATATATATATATGTGTGTGTATATATATATATATATTTAT